AAGTGGAATTTTGGTTGAAGACAGACGAATCAGATTAACTTTCTAGTTAAATCTACTAAATTCTAACAAGATGAAGACTGTATGAAAAAAAAAAAAAAAAATGTTTGATTGGAATTCTGATTCGTTCATTTTCAACAAGAATTCCAATTAAACGGACGGCTTTTATTCAACCGGAAAATTCGGATTCGTCCATTTTCTCGTCCTGTCCCGAATAAACATTCTAAATTGATGTAATCAGAATTTTCTGGTCCGTGTTCATTTTCACTCGGACACATTTTCCTCGACATGCAGTGCACGCGGTTATGAAAAAGTGCTCGCGCGAGCGCAAATCGATCGGATTCCGGAACGCAAGGAGATTTTCGATACGAAAGTAAACGACCGGTGTAGCGTCCGTTCGTCTCTTTCTATTCTCATTACTATATTTAGATACTTAGAGTGCATCACAAATGTTGGAACAGGTATACACCGTGTGTGAATGACCGAATACGCATGACGAAACGTTGCGTGTTCCAGCACGGCTTGACGGCACGAAGGGAAGAAGAAAGAAAGAGAAAGTACAATCGGGACGAACGGGCGTGAAGGAGACGGCAGATTGGACACGGGGACAACGAAGCGAAGAGGTAGAGACAGGGACGTAGACTTCGATTCTCGTATGAGAGAGGAAACGCGCGGAAAAGGTGCGAATCCGCGCTCAGGCTGCTTTTCGGCGGTAAAGATAACTGTTATCGAAAAAAAAAAAGAAGAAGAAAAATATATTGGGTAATCGCTGTTTTTTTTTTAACAGTAGAATGATTTTTCTTCGTATGTACGATCCACTTAATGCCACAAATGCTTCGAAGCAATTTTTTGCATCGAGTTCATGTTATTAGCCTTGAGATAGGTTCGAATAGTTTCATACGATATATCTAAACCTTTCCGCTTCAGTTTTGCTTGTCCTTGACGCAGTGTTAAGCCAGGACTCCGCGAAAACAGATTCACTATTTTTTTATCGTCTTTTTTTCTCCACTTTGCATATCGAGCCACGTTCCGGTAAATCATCGACATTTTTTCCCACGTTATATCGCTGCACCCACTTCTGTACGAATGATTTCGATTTTTTCATACACTTAGCAGCCGCTAATTGTGACATTTTTGGACACCTTTCGGGTGAGTGCAGAGAAACACAACGTGAGGAACACGCTTCGTAGCGTGATGAGGATTTGGTACTCATGGCGCTTAATGTGACTCTCTTGAGAAACTTCAATGACAACTGAATCTTCCTTGATAGTGCATCAAGGACAAAGGTGCCCTCTATGGATTCACGATAGATTTAGGGCGATATCTTTTATTAGCTTTGAGTAAGGCCGACCACGCTCTTACTTGACTTACCGTACGTTTCGTCGGTCTATCTTGTTTACATTAAACGCCCGACACATACTCGAGTCACCCCAGCGATGTGCGAGTAACGTTTTAACGACGTCTTATTGACGTTAAAGACGTCAATTGACATCAAGGCATTAATAAGACGTAATTCGATGTCACCTTACTTCTTGAAATATGTACGTTACGCAAGATTTCCAATTCATTTACGAAACTTATCATCTGCGAGAATTCCAATCTGCAGAAGACGGTTTACTGCGACAATGCGATCCTACGTGGGAAAAATGATGGATACCTTGTGAAAATAATCTTGTTAATTCAATGATAATATATTAATGAAACAAATGACATTTTATTCAAACAAGAAGTGACGTTCCATTAATACTGTTATTGAATGAACACGATTATTTTCAATTTATAGACTGCTGTTGGCCAATGCTTGTTAAATCGATATATTTTACCATACTCGACGCATTACCGATTCCAAACTCCACGATAGCGTTTCTCTATTAACTTTGTTTCTTCAGTAATGACAATCGTCACATTAATGAGAGATCGTGAAATCTGATCGATTCGGTAATACGAGTCAAAATACTTGGGCTACGATCCACTTACGAGTAGTATGTGTATTACAGTAAATGCTTTGAAGCATTTTTTGATTAGTCAATTAGTGAAATTCTTTCGATTGGTCAATCTGCTGCTTCGAAGCGTTTGTAGCATCAAGTAGACTGCACCCTAAAGCCTAGTTCATATTCGTTGCATCGTGATTGGCTAAATAAAATAGTACCGCAACTGGCAATCCGTAGTGCGATTGTGGCATTAAGTCTGTTTTCCACAAGCAACGTGGATTAACCTTAATCTCGGTTCAATTAACATGCACTGAATCTTTTTCTAATTCTTGTATAGCTGGAAAAAGATGAGGAATCAAGTTAATCTATACATTGATGGGAACAGATATTAGCCGTTTATAGATATTTCTTGGAGAAAGATCTGAGGCTTTCTAGTAGCAAATTTACTTTCACAATTGTCAATCTATCGTTCATTAATCTTTCGACGATGATCTCCTTCCTAACTGTTCGTTTGTACAGTTGATTTGGTATCGCGCGCTACGACTTCTCTCCTCGTTTTGGCCGAGGCCGAATAAACGCCGATCTTTGCATTTCCTTTGTGCGCAACTGCGCACTTGTGCTAGAAACAATGCGCTTTCTCACGGTGCGCTGCAGAATTCTTAGCGAGTTTAGCGTTGGCCACGCTGTACATACTACTTCGAACGGCATAAGTGCATACACAGCGCATTCTACTTTCGTACGAATCGCACGCGACGATTTGCGTGTCTCAATAAAACAGAGACATTCGCTCTCCCTGCATTTTCAACGCTTGCATTCTTATTCGTCCTCGATGCGCGAATTCTCAGAGAGAACAAATGTTGCTCACTGCCGTTTTCTTCATATCAGTCAGTCCCGTAATTTGTTTCCGAGATCGTTTAACATTGACACGACACTACTACTGAAACGAAAAATGATGTTAATCACAATCAGTTATGATAATATTAACAATATTATTCTAATTGGAATTAATTTATAAAAGAAGAATTATTGTCACTGAAAGAAATCTTGTTAATTCGATAACTCTATTAACGGAGCAAACGCGTCATACTCTTATTTGAGTAAGACGTTGTTCGTTTTATTAATAATACCGTTATTGAATTGACTAAAATTACTTTCAATTAAACTGACGCTAAGCTTGACGCAACATTGTTCCTTCTCGCGTCGCGATATTCGTTCTACTTATAATACTTAATCAGGAATTCGTAAGTAAAAGAAAGAACTATGGAACCTTTGAGAATTAATATTCTAAACTTTGAATCAATTATTTGCTTCGAATGGTACAAACGAAATATAAAGATATATATATATATTTATTTGGAATCGTTGATTTGATTTGTCATTTTTCATCGTAAGTGAATTTCAAGTTGGCACTTGATTGAAAAAGAATATTTATGAAAATTTAGTGCATTTTCGTCTCAGCGTATAACTGTGAACCGATTGGAACGGAAGATGAGTCTCGGAATCGATTTCGCGCGAGCGTGCCAGTGGAAGAAGAAATCGACGATACCCTTCGATCCGTCGTCACTGCGCGTCGCTCTTCCCTCGATCGTACGGCCCTGACTTTACCCACAGTGGGGGCAGAAGAAGCGGAGGCGGAGGGTGTCGGTCGTCAGGTCGGCGCAGCGGCGAACAGTGGCGAGCGGACTCGTACACCAGCTACGGGTCGAGCTGCTCGAAGGCGGGCTGGCGAGAGCGTTCGCGTGTTGTCGCGGAGGAGTTCGCGGAGGAGGCTCGAGATTTGTAAAAGAGAAGGAAAAACAAAAGAGAACCGTGCAAGAGGCACCTCTTCACCAGGACGTTCTAGATCTAGGTGGAGTCATCTTGGGGAACGTCGCCGTAGTGTTAAGGAGGGGGGGGGGGGAAAAAAAAAGGAAAAGACTTGTAAAGGAACTGGTTTGCACAAAAACTCGCGAGTGACAAAAGGCTTCTCTGTGATCGTGGAAGGTCCTCCCCGGTTTGTCGTGGGGGAGGTGACCAGCGGCGTCAACTGGCGTCGTTTCCTGGTGAAGTTCGCCGGAATTCGGTTCGATATTGTGATTGTGACGGGAGAGTCTCGATACTTTGGGAGAGCAACCTCGCGCGAGAGGGGAACGGATGCCAACTATTGAGCGGAGATGCACGTGTGTCGCGAGTCGCCGGGGGGTGGGGTGGGGGAGGGGCGGGGGGGTAGAACGAGCAGCCGAAAGCGTCCCGCTCCGAAAAACAAGCGTGACACGTGAACCTTGATGTCGAGACCTCGTTGGACCTTGGAAGGAGTGACACGGGATCAATCCGGATCGACGGAAACGGAGAAACTCTCTAACGTCTCCATTCCTAGTTCGAGTTTCACAGTTCTCTTCCTTCACCGCCGGTCGTGAAAATCTGAACCAGATAGCACATCGGTTCGATACACGTCGGCGTCGCGACGTCGGTGACGTCTGTAGAAACTTGGAATCGCTCTACAGTCGTAGATCATTATCTAGTCGATGTAGATATGACGACACCGAATGCACCCCTAGTCGCAAGATCTCGCGATTGCTCCCGGGGAAGCTGCAAACCGTCGCGATCGTCGACGACGTTCCACCGACCTGAACGCGCTCCAAAATGTAATTCTTTTCCACGAAGTGGAAGTCTTCGAACTGTCGACGCGATCGTCGACGCTTTTTCGTCAAGCCGATGACGGGTTCTTCCACGGGCGGAGGAACGAAGCTGTTCGCGCGTATTGCT